CMMYWAAYTKGSYWRGTGAGTTGAAAGTTAAGTGTCAAGCCCTGATATTACACCTTAATCACACCTCAAGGCCAAGGCCACAAGAATAAGGGATATGACCACCGAAAAAAGCCCTTGATTAACAAACAAATTCTCTTTGTCAGCTTCCTAAGAATGTATAGGGGACAGTGTGGAGAATATGCATACTGATGTGTCAGGGTGTAAAGTATGAAGTGTTGGCATGATAATACAAAGCATTACGAATAACTTACCTGTGATGAGCCTCCTGCATTCTGTAGTGTAGTAATAATATCACTTATTGCACTTGACCAGTGTTCTGGCATAGCATTGAGGGCAACTGCTCCAAGCTTTAATGGAAAAAGAAAAAAACTCAAGCAAAATTAGAGATTGAGTTACAGTGTACAATTATGTGTATCTACATATAACATGTGCACTTGTCATAGCAACGGTAAAATCCAGGCATGGTCTAGGCTCAAGGAAATAAAAAATTATCCTTTTCACACAACACTTTTACATGCCTTTCAAATAGGTCTTGAAGCCTATACATGTATGTAGATCTGCATAAAACATTGCACTCACATACACCCTGGAGCCCTGTCAGAAATCCAGAGATCTCTGAGTCAACCCACCATGAAATTTTTACCTTAGATCTCAAACAGAGAGCCTAAGTGGTCAGGGTACATGGCAAATGACCACATTTATAGATTTCAATTTTGAAGTTAACAAATCAAAATTTCAAAATTTGTTTTTTACCACAATATCAACGTCAATAAACCAATTATTTCACTGTGTGACATGTCGCATGACACATTGACAGGAACAGCATTGTCTGTACTGCTATTGACAATGGCAAATTAGCCAATCAGATCACAACACTACTGCCAATTTTGGTAAAACATCAAGTAGAAAGCGAGTGAGAAAAAATACCACCATGTGATTTTGACAATGTCCTATTGTTTTTGCCATTGTTCTAGTCAAGTTAAGTACAGAAATGAAAACACAAAAAAGGTAAAGTCTGTATATAGGAATGCTCAGCATAGCTGCAGGAGATTTATCATCTTGGATTAAATTGTCCGCTGTTACCCACTTCTCCTCCTACACAGAGAATGTTATTGTAAGAAATGTCGACTCTGGATGGAAATGCAAGGTGTTCCTTGACTAGAAATTTCTTTTTCACAATGCTTCTCCCCATCTTGGAGTAGAAATTGGTACTAACCAACTATCACATAAACACTTACGGCAACACAGAGCCTTGTGAGAACAATCCTTGGTCCAGCGGAAAACATGAAGATGTGCTTGAAAAGTTCTGATCGTAAGTCAGTGTAATGTTCTTCTTGAAGTTCACTCCTAAAGAATAAACAAAATTAATGTTTCCAAAAAAATATATGAGTATTCAGAAGTCCTAACCCTCTCACTGCCATGAGTGACTTGGACAGAATTTTCCTTCACGATATCAACCGAAAATTAAGCAGACCTGTAATGACAATAAAGAAAAATATCAATAAGGGGACTCAGGGCTTGACACTAACATTTCAACTTACCAGCCAAGTGGCTTGTGACAACTTTAGATGTTACAACAATTTCAGTTTGCTTACTAGCCAAAGTGGCTAGTGGAAATCGAAAACCACAAGCCAAAACTAAATTTCTACTAGTCCGTGGCTAGTTGGCTACCATTAGTGTCAAGCCCTGGGATTATTAGTTGATACAAAGCCAAATTCTCCAGACTAACTTTATAAGAATTGTATGGCAGACCATAAGGAGAATTACTGATGAGATCTTGGGAGAGAAAGGGTTCAATCAGGTATCCATAAGGAAGGAAAAAAGCATCAAGATATCCAGAAAGACAGGGAAGCAAAGAATAAGTTTCTGGTGTTCTGGTAGAGTATAGGAATGGAAACAAAAACTAAAAAATCATTATTTAACTAACCAATACTTGGCGATCTTAAAGTGAAGCATTGAAGCACCAAAAAACTGAATTTCCGGAGGCTGTAAAAAATTAAAGATGTAAATAAAACAATGACATAAATGAAATGCATGAATTCATAACTTTAACATGAATAATATACCATGAACACTATGATAACCTCTTGGTGGGGAACTTAGCACAACCTTGAACTTCTAAGGCCTCCCTAGAGTGGGGGGGGGGAGAGAGTAGGGGTGTACACAGGTTAAGTTTTAGATGAGGGGTTTATTAGAGACTACAGTCTGATAAAGATGGAAGCAAAAATCTGGGTAACATATAGTGTACAGAACACCTAGTATTTAAGTAAAACTGCACTTTCCATCAGATTACTGGGATGATAACATTAACTCGTGCATGATGTTGGAAGAAGACAAGAAAAGTTCCTAAATCACCAACAAGCATCCCAAGTGGGTTATTACAACAATGGAAAGAAAGTGCAGTCTATCGCCTTGATGAAATAACTATGGGTCTATGGGTGCAATAAACAACAGGTTTTGGACCAGTTAGGGTGCTTGCAGTATTTTGGTACCTGGTGTAAAATTATCAAGGTTAATTAAACATGTTCTTGTTTCGGGAAGGAACAATAAGATTGTACCTTATCAGACTGCATAAGTCTCCAACACAACTGCCATGCCTGATGCGATTTCTGTATTGTCAGTAGCCACTTGTGAGCTGTGTCTCTGTTTGTCTGGTCATGTCCACTGTACAGTGTAAACAAGGCCTGTAGGTAGGAAGAGTACAGCAAACTGGTTCACCTGACTTCATTATTACTTCAGACTACTGTTGCACCCTCAAGGGAATTGTACCAAGGACTTGTCAGACAGGCAAGCAGAAAGGACTTTTTGGAAAATATAGTCCAACCTTGATTATCTGGACCTCAATTATTCAGATTTCTTGATTATCCAGACTTTTTCTCTGGTCCCAATTTTTTCATGAATATCTATTGGTCATGATCAAGATCCATAGCCATATATTTTTTGAAGCTACAGCATTGAGAAGTGAAGTAAAGGGGATGTTCTTCTTTAAAACAAACTGACTTCAACATTTTAGACCAATGTTAAAAACAATTTTCATTAATTTTTAATACACACGTGTAGAGGTATTCATGTAGAACATTGAAGACATATCTAGACCATATCCTTTTCAAAATGATTTGTAAATGTTTTGTTTCAGAATTAAATGTCGCTTTCTTAATTAAATAAGTTTTTGTTCCTCATTAATATTCATATTCTCAATTACCCGGACCCTTGATCAAGGTTCAACTGTAGTATAAAACTCCTAAAATATCCACTTAAAATAAGGTGTAAGTATCCTGAGCAACGGTTAAGTGACCTGATATACTCATAGTGCCAGACTCGTTTCCTTTGCCAACTTTTTTCTTCTGGGCATGGTTTTTTTTTTTTTCTTTTTGGCTGTTTGCTGCAATTAGAGTGTTTCATGTGTGCAACACACATTTTTTAGAAAAAAAAAGAGGTGGACCTCTTCCCTCAAATGGTGTCATATCATGCCCATCCTTTATTGTAACAGCCACCTCTCTGCTGCAAAACAGAAGTTTCCTCTGTCCGCTACGTGACCATTAAGGAGAGGTACAATTGCAAGTCACTAAGTCACTTACAATCCTCATGTTCTAGTATATAGGAGTATACATGTACAAACGTATCCATCTTCACTTCTGCTTGGTTGACACTAAGCATATTCGCATGATGCATGATCCTCGCAGTAGATAGTGCCATTTACGCAATAGCGAAAATCAGACCTGAAAAAAAAAATCAGGCTTGTACGGGACTCGAACCACTGACCTCTGTGATACTAGTGCAACGCTCTACCAATTGAGCTAATAAGCCAACTGGGAGCAGGCCATTAAGTTGATTCGTAATAAACCCGTGAAAGTGATAAATGAGATACAATGAATATATGAAGTTCATCCACTGACCTCAGTGGTTCGAGTCCCGTACAGGCCTGATTTTTTTCAGGTCTGATTTGCGCTATTGCATAAATAGTGCTATCTACTGCGAGGATCATGCATCATACGTATCTAATACCGCAGTTCAAAATATATGAACTTCATATATTCATTGTATCTCATTTATCACTTTCACGGGTTTATTATGAATCAACTTAACGGCCTGCTCCCAGTTGGCTTGTTAGCTCAATTGGTAGAGCGCTGCACTAGTATGGCAGAGGTCAGTGGTTCGAGTCCTGTACAGGCCTGATTTTTTTTTTCAGGTCTGATTTTCGCTATTGCATAAATAGCGCTATCTACTGTGAGGATCGTGCATCATATGTATCTAAACACAGTTCAAAATATATGAACTTCATATATTCATTGTATCTCACTAAGCATATTAGCCTTAACTATCCTAACATGCCACTGTTAAAATCTAATTCCACCTCAAGAAAAATTTCTCCCTCAGTATCACAATTTAAATTTTGTAAAAGATATAAACAATGATTGTGGCTGATTCAAAGACAAAAGTCAATATGCCGCGTTGGGTATGTTCAAAAAACGAACATGGGCAAAGAAAGTTAATAAAATGAGGGTAAACTATTAAAAACAGATTAAAAAAAAGCCGACAAGGTGGACCTCAATGGCCCTGTATTCTGTAGTTGCTCAAAAAGGGGTATTACAACAGAATAAATCCCCAGAAAAAATATATCAAGTTTTTTCCGAAATGGGGGAACTCGTCTACACATTACCGAGCTGAGAAAAAAAGATAAACTCAGTCAGTAAGCCCATAATTTTCAAAATTTCAACACAGCAATTTACTGTCATGCGCCCTCTTAAAAAAAAATACTGAAAAAGAGCGCAGATTTTACAAAACCTGAACAAAGTTCATCGTTCAACATACAACCGCGACCTTCATACCTGCTCGCATTGATTGAGAAGCGCTTGAAGCTGTTCTTCAGTGTTGTTCATTTTATTTCATGCCCAATGCACCCTATTTGATATGGCTAATTCTCAACCGTACTCCATGACAACATATCCTTCAACACATAATTCTTCTACTATCAAACTTTCGCCGCCATCTTCTCTTTGATATGCGTGGATTGTACTACGCACTACTTCATGCGAGCTACCGATGACCATAAACAGCGCTACAGTCGAATTTAGTCTGGTTACCACTCTTCCGCGACAGCCAGAGCAGGATGGGTGACCAGAAGGAATTGGAACTCAAACCAAGAGAGATCAGAAACTGGTAGGTGTCAATTCTTCTCTAAACCAGAAAAAATAATCAACTCTCAAATAGAGACGAAATGAGGGAAAAATGTGTTCTGAAGAGAAACAAAAAATTCCTGTGCCCAGCTCACTGAAATGAATGAGATCCTAATCTTGATGATGTTAACTGTAGCCTTTACACCCTGACATCAGTGTACATAATTATTCTCTACGCTGATCTAAACATTTCCTATGGAAGCAATATGGAGAATTTGTTAAACAATCAAGAGCTTCTCAAGTTGGTGATCATTTCCTTGATTCTCATTACCTTGATATCTGATTCAGCAGTAATACTATGACGAGAAATTAGATAAGTCTCTCACAGGGTTAGGAGTTAAGTTCATCCATGGTGTGGCAAGGCTGTGCTCTAAGGAAAATTGAATGGAGCCCAGTGCTCTGAAACTGCAAAATCCAGGGTGCCCAGCATATGCTTTTTATAAAAAAAACTAAAATTCCTGAGTCACCCAAGAACAAAAGTAATTAAGGCACTAGGGGCCACCTGGCACTGCTAGACCACAGCCTTGTATGGGCTAGTGCTTGCTCTTGTTGTTCCAATTTCCTTCATTTTCAAAGACCATTCAAAAACCCTGCTCAAAACTGCACTTTTCCCAAAATTATTCAACCTCATTTCTTAAAAAAAAAATACTCAACTGCAATGGAGGTAAATTAAAAGTCTTGGGACACTCAACACAATATTAGTCAATTCAAGTCCTTTATTTTTCTTTGCCTTCTCCCCCAAACTGTGTGGCTTTTTGTGCTCTCTGTAAACTTTACCAAGACATGGTGACTGTTGGGTATTTACCAAAAATTACTGGAAGGGGAGGGTAGGTTGTGTGTATTTGCATGAGTTAGAAAAAGGTGGTCTTTTGCAAGATAATTACTTGTAAGGTATGTTTTTAATAACTGTCCATAGGATTTTTTACCTATACTGTCAGTTGCTGACAACAATGAGGAGACGAGCCAGACTAGAAAATTAAAGGAAAAATTAAAGATATCAAGTCATCACTATTGAGGTGACAAAGCATTCTTCTAGGGAAGCTTGTTGCCAGACAAACTCGCCAGCTTCTCGGTTTAAATAGATTTCTTTCATGATAACCCTTGTGTTCTAGAAAACAGTTCCAAAACATGATCTCCAAAATGTGCGGGTGACCCTCAATGAAGGGAATGAATCTCATGATTTACACCATGAAGAATCAAGGCATGTTGTCAGTTCCACTATGCTGACCAGTTATACACTTGACTTCCCTGTCCAAAAACTATGTCCAAAATTTATGCCCCCAAAAACAATGTTGCAAAGATTACCTTCCAAATTTTTCTACTCCAAACTATAACATGCAATGGTTTTCAGACTTCCTAAGGTTGAAAAATGTGTCTAAGGTGCACTGAAAAATAGACATAACTTGACAAAAAATACCAAGCAAACTAGGGTAACAATTTTTGTTCTGAATGTGATAAGCAAGCTTTTAAGCTTAAATGTAGCCAAGATGTAAAACACGGCCAAAATAAATTGTGATATCCCTTTAGCTACCACAAGTGACCACGACAGAATTTCCCCTTGCAACATCAACAAGATATCAAGCAGACAAGCAACCAAAATTCTCTGCATTAACATCATAAACATTGTATGGCCAACGGTAAGGAAAATTACTAGTGTGATCTTAGGAGTGCAAGGGTTATTTGAATAATGATTTGGTCTTTTTGTTCAACTTATGACACACATGCACAGTATAATGACAAATGTCTCCCTAACACTACAATTGTAAAATGAACAGAAGTTGTAAAAGAGGAAATTTCTACTTGCCTCTTATTGTTGAACAAAACAGTGCAAAGCTGTAGGTGGCTGGGGTCTATCTCAAAAGTCTGGTAACTTAACAGGCCTTAAGACTCAAAAAGCAAAATCTAAAGATACAGAGGAGTAGGTTCTGACAGTCGCACCAGTCCAAGTTTTTTGACAAGGTGATAGTTGTTCAAAACTTTTGAAACCACCATCTTGTATGAAAACAGAACTGCTTTACAGGCCCATTGTGTAACCAAGGCGTTCAAGAAATGGGCGCCAGGACCTAACACCATGCATAATTCAAAAAGTTATGGATGTTATTGTTAAAGTTTTCCTTTGTTACTAAAATTAAGTCATTGTTGCTTAGCAATTGTGCCATGGTGCAAGTATAGTTTGCATTCACTGAAGTTTTCTTTATTTACCTGCGTAAGCATTTAAAATCAACGAAGAGGTCATGAAGTAAACTTTTTTATTTTTTTTTCCATACCGCTCCCATATGAAGACATAAAGTGTAATTCGACAAATAGTACTGACTTCTCCATTAAGGACAAAGTAAAATCAAACACAAAGCTGTCTCTCTAAATACACCATAATAAATTTAACAAAAACATGCACAGAGTATTCCTTTCCCATAATTATAAATTTAAAAAGATGAGAACACATCCATCGTATCTAATTATCAGGTATATTTTACCGGCTAAAAATTGGTGAAAAATATTTTAAGCTCTGTGATAGGCGTTTGATATCAACCGTAAATACGTGTGGAGCAGGTAATTATATCTACGGAAAACCAAATCCTCCGTCTGCATTAATATACTTTGTGTACATCAAATAATTATTATTTTACACAAATTTCTGGAAAGTGCTGTACATTGTAAAATGTGATGGTAAAACATGGGAATATGAAGAGTTAAAAAGTGTAAAAATAAAACTTACTGAGTGCTGGCTATCTATTCGACGCTCATATATACAAAGAACAAAACTTACATGCGTACAATGTTGGTGGAATAGAAATCTTTACATTTTTGAAATTTGTCTTCAAAAACTGTACGGTCAATTGCATGAATGAAAACAAAATTTGTATTAGCCACGTCCTGTCTACAACGTTAAAATATTTTGACACGAGAGAAAGATTACATTTGTTCTAAAATATAAATTGATGAATCATGTCGGAACTATACTTGAAATATATAAAACACTTTAAATGTGTGATGATTCCGATATTCATCTGCCATATAAAGGAGATTATAGCGGTCTGTAATGTATATATGACAGTACCAACGAGCAATATTTCGCGATACCTTCGCAATTACAGTCACGAATAAAACTTTCTGATACCTGTATATAAAGATAAATCCGGTAAAAATAATTCTCGACTGGACTAAACAGATTTCAAATATCATACCGATTAAAATCTTAGCCGACAAAACTTTGTCTGGGTTGAAATAGATTCACCTGTAGTTAAATCCTTGTTGAGTACTGCTTACATTACCTAAAACCAGCTATTTCGTGCATCCTAAATCTGTCCCTAATGTGTGGTCGAACATCATCCTTTCTTGCAGCGATCATTTCCAAGAATGGGAGAAGTTCGAGCAATTCCCTGTCCGACTTATCAACAAACCAACTTTCGATTGGAATTCCATTGAAAATCTGGTAAGCGAATGCTTGAGGTGAATTGTCTACAATCATTGTCTTCGCTAAGTCCCTGCCGAGTATGTTCAAATCTTTAATATAGTTCCCTTGAACGCAAACACAGTGTTCGCGGAAAAGGCGGTGTCGGAAATATTTTCGACCAGGATCCAAGATATTCAACAGCTTATCTGCATAAACTTTCTTCGAGGCGGTGAACAGGATAACTTCAAACATACTCGCGACTCGCTCGAGAAACCGCTTTAAATGCGGTCTTGTGCGTACAAACACTTGATAACAAATGTCTTGATAAAGGACAGGGAAAGACAAATTGGCATCCTCCAGCTTATTAAGACTGCAGTGAACAAGTGTCTCGTCCAGATCAAGTACAAGACAAAATTCTGGAGTGCTCCTGGTCTGCAAGGGTAACACAGGACCACGGCTTGTGGCATCTTCACCTTCTTCTGGTGGGGGAAGATTACGAATAAAGTAAAACGGATCATAAACTTCCCATTCGTTGTCCGGAGATTCGGAAGTCTCATCGCCAACGTTTCCATTGACGTCGCCATTAGGCACGGCCAAAGCTTTTCTATTTATGGTCGATGAACCTTGTTGCCACAATGCCCTTTCTTCAGTTATACCGCCATTAGTCGCGCCACAAATCCTGGATCCACTTGTCAAATTAGTCGCAACTATTTCGCCTTCCTTTCCTACATTTTGAAAGTGACCGTTCTTTCCGAATAGCGTAAAGACAGGCGAAAACAAAGTTCCTAAGAGTGATTTTCGCTTAGAGGACTCCCCATCGACAGTAGACTTCGTAGCAACAGAATTAACGACCGTTGTCTCAGTTGTAAACTTTCGTTTCTTGAGAAGGTTTGATGTTATTATCGCATCTTCCTCGTCTTCGCTGTCCGAGTCGGATCGTTTACGCTTCGCAATGCGATCTTTCTCGCTGTCTTTCGACGGTGACCATAGGAAAGTTTTGATTGAACTCAACAGATTTCTTCCTGGTGAAATCGCAGAATTTTCACTGCACTCAAGATCTGCCGTTTCGCTGTTTCCAACCGAGGCGGCACCATCCATGTCTTGGTTATCAGCTTTCGCACTGTCCTTCTGTGAAGGCCTACTCACGCACGATTAGCTTGGTGAATGCCAGAACTTTCGCTAGAAAGATACAAAATAAATCCCCCAAACACAAGCTTCCACAGCTATGAGCTTAAAAAATCTATAACGTTCTACACTAACCACTCATTCGACGAGGTTTCATACTGACTGTGTGTGTAGCGCATCGTAAACGAATCTGCCTCAGTGACAACTTGTGACACGCCGTTCTGGTTGGGTGACTGCATGTACATTTCATGCAAATGTCTACAAAAACAAGAGGAATATTTGCATACCCAATTTCGCGCGCTTAACAATGGCGATCGCACTGACACACAGCGCTATGTAAAACAAATTTATACTTGAATAAGGAGTGTTACGCGAAAACTGACTTCCAACGTTAAAATATTCAGTATTTTAATATTTTCTCCGCGCACCACAGGAAAAGAAAATCTACCGGAAGTTAGGGAAAAAGTGACAGTCTTCGTAAAATATCGCTTCAATGTTGTTAAATAATTGCATGTAACCGTAACCTTTAAAAAGTCTTTGTTTATTCAGAATAGATCGGTAGATTTCCTGGTTATGACTACGGCGTTTAAGTAAACTAATTAACCACCCTGTACTTGACTCGCAGTATGCAAAATAATAAATGGCGAACGACAGAGAACACATACAGTTCTATATGATTTTTGTAGTCTATCCTATTCTTTGTCCGGAAATTGAAATGATAATTTTTTTTTTCATCCCTTACCATGAGAGCAGAATGTCAAACTGATAATTGCCTACCCTCTTCCTTGACCACGGTACCAAAACACTTCCCCACCCTTCTGGTAACAGGAATTGACGAGCGTTTGGATTGGGGCCAAACTATCGATATTTTAATTTTCAGACCTGAGTCTCAGTCACTCAAGGCATTCATTTTCATCTGGGGCTCGAGATATTATTGGGTAAAAGTAAATAGAAAAAAAGGGTAAACAAGGTAAGTAGTCTACATTACTTTTCTACGGCACGGATTGTTCGGAACCCGATCGACACGTTGCCAGGGCGATTAAATCTGGCTTGCTGCTAACTTTTCCTCAAACGACTCGGCCTGAAAACTACCGTGTTTTGCCCTTATACCATAACATCAATATGCATATTCTCCGAACTGATATTCATACATTTCCTGTGACATTAATAAGGAGAATTTGTTTAAAGTCTTGAGCTCCGTTAGTTGGTGATCTTTTTCTTCTTCTCATTTTTATTCTCGAAATGTTTTATTCAGCAGTGGTACTGTAAGGCGAAATTAGCTCAGTTGGCCACTCTTGGGGGGTTAAAGGCAAATGTCCCCCTTTGTCAAGCGCTTCGTCAGCTTTCCCTTGACAATTTTAGGGTACTCGTTTGGAATAACCTGTCTGACTGGCAGATTTGGAACGATTTGAGGTGTCAAGCAGCGCATATTTTTGTGGTCCATTCTCCGAGACCCAAGGGAGGATTAATTAGGACGGCTAAATTTTCACCTCATCCAGTCGCTTGCCCCTTGACGATAATTTCTATCTCTCCTTCCAAAATCTCCACGTATAAAGTCAACAACACTGAGTCACGTGTTAGCTTGACCGTTAGCTTGACCAAAAATAAAGAGTCGGGACCACATCAACGCCAAGACCTCAATTCAACGTCCCGACGTTCATTTCGTAATCAGTTTTGCCCCAACCGCTGAAAGGAGGCCGTCGTGAAATCGAAAAGATACAACAAGCCACCGCTCCAGTTGTAGCAAATGGTTTGATCACACGGGCCGAGAGTTCATCATGGGGCGCGCTCCCGCCTCAGGGATTTCCCTTGGAGAGGGAGGCCCGAGGTTCACTGCTGAAAATGTTTCGTTATTTTGGTGGACTGAGAATGACACACTTTTTCGTTTGCTCCATCAAAATTGGTGTACGAAATGCCCAATTATTTCTTTATATGTTTGATCATTTGTTGTAAGACTTATCAGGATACCATAGCAACACTGCAGCAGCCTCACAGAAACACCCTTGATTTTAGCTTTGAAAGTCTGTATCTCAAAATCAAGCTCGGTGACCACCCGTTTCTCATCCCTGAGACGCAATCAGCGTACCGCTATTCATCTTTCTGACAAAAACGTTTTCAAAAATATCAGTTCATATGCTATTTCAAAAAATTAAAGAGGTTGGGTTTTCTAATGGTTACCTTGATTGAAAACCGAATTCTCTGTGTAATTCCGAGGAAAATGTATGGCAGCTTGAATGGAAGATTACAAATGTAAGAAATACATGTATGATGCCTTGGCAATTTCACTTCGCATTTTCTTATTACAGAAAATCCTCTAATAAGCCCCCCCCCGGGGCTTATTCATTTCAAGTACTTTGGGGGGATGGCTTATCATGAGAGGGGGGAGCCTATGAATTAAGAGCTCAATATGCAATAAAGAACTCAATATATGATCTAACTTTCTCAATGAACCTTGTTTAGCCATGTTATATTTTTAGCGTCGCTCTGTAATTTCCGTATACCGTATTCTATTGATCTATTGATGCCAACATGATAACGTCAATAAATCAATCACCATAATCAATTTTAAATGACAAACCAAAATTACAGTACTTGAATAAATTTATCGTACTTACTGACATGGAGTGTTATTTTGAATTTTTTTTTTAGTTTGGAGAGGGAGGGGTAGGGGGCTTAATAGAGGGGGCTTAGTAAATTTCTTCCTCTAAAGAGGGGTGGCTTTTTAGGGGTAGCTAATTAGAGGGGGGCCATTAGAGGATTTATGGTAGATGATTGAATAAATGAAGAAAGTGATCAAATCTAACGCCGTAACATTTTTCCAGAAATTTTTCATTAAAACAGCCGATTACGTACTTGATTCGCTACATCTTCCCATACAAACACTGAGAGGTCTTAGAATGATCTGTTTCAAATTTACGAGGTGTTTGTAACGTATTGGTCCGTGTATTTAGTGCTCTTCACGAAAATCAGAATCCATTTTTCTCAAACAAGCCACCCCTTGCATTCTCGTGACCTTCACATTTTATGCAAGGGTGCTATTGCAGGGAGAAATTAGATGCAAGTTACACCCAGGGATTATAGAGGATTCAGGATAAGATCACACCATGGATGACGAAGGCGTCAACAGACAAGAAAGGGAAGTGAGAGTTTTTGCGCAGACTCACAAATTCACAACGTCCTTCCTCACACCCAAGTCTTGCATGTAAAAGCCGAGAAGAAATAGGTGCAAACAAAAAGAGATGGAGAGCTGGGTTAGAACAGGTTTACAAAGTCAGAACTTCCATCCTTACCCCTAAGCCTTAAAACCCGCGAGGAAATAGATGAAAACAAAAAGAGATGTACAGGTGGTCAGAAAAGACTTACAAAGAGTCCGAACTTCCTTCCTTACCCCCAAGCCTTGAAACCCGCTAAGAAATAGGTAAAGACAAAAAGAGAGGGAGAGAAGGTGAAAACAGATTTACAACATTTCAGAACTTCCTTTCTTACCTCAAGCCTTAAAATATCTGCGAGGAAATAGATGAAGACAAAAAGGGATAGAGAGGTGGTCAAACAGATTTACAAAAATTCAGAACCTCCTTACGCCAAGCCCTAAAACTCGAGAAGAAATCAGGGAGGGATGGGTGGACACAAAAAGGAATAGAGAGGTGGTCAGAAATTTGTTCGAAAGACACGAAGAACAATCATGTTTCATTTTCAATGTTCGTTTTTATTGACAATAAACTAAACCCCCCTAAAGTAAACATAAAATTGGGATTTACGTTCTTTTCATCAGAAGATAGAGCCGCGAGATGCTTTTTTCTGCCTTCATCATTTGCGAACGTTCCAGCACCGTGAGTTAAACAAAGCAATTAACCAAAAAGAAATTAACTGTCTCTAACAACTTAACCTAATGGATATATATCATTTGCCCTCTGGTGTGTTTTGGGGCTCAAATTGAAATCATGTTTCCGTTTTTCTTCTTTTTGCAAGCATCGATAGCTAGCCGTCCCATAAACAAACAAACCTTAAATAATGTCATTCATCAATTGTAAAATTTCCTAAGAATTGAGGTAAAAAAGGCCAGAAATTCACCCGCGTCAGCTAGCCCAAAACTACTATATCACATATTTTTTATAACGTCTACTTTTCGAACATCGAGAACAAGGTTCTCACAAACAAATCATCGTCCACGTTAAGGCTTGCTCTGTTTATCAAAACGATGTGAACTTCTCAATAAAATAAAATTAACTTGTTATAAATTATTAATACTTTGCGATAACGTGACCCAACCACTACATATATTTATTTAAGCATTCTCGAGGTACAATAAAGCAAGTTACAAATAGCGTGACTTTTGTACAGTTCCGTGGGCGAAGCTGAGCTTTCTACTGTACTGGCCTTTTCATGAACTGTCTGGAACGAAAGGAGACAAAAGAAAACTGTTAGTGAGATTCGCAATGAACCACTGAAAAAAAAGAGCCACTTAATTTAAAGAGCCCACCTTAAACTTTATGCAAGCCAGCGACCTTAATTTCGTACTGCAACGATCTGAAAGCTAATTCACTTAACTGAAACTGTGTGAAACCTTCCGCAACCAGGAATGACCAAAAGAATGGATAAAGTATAGTCTGCACTCGCGTCACGTGACTCATCCAGCGGAACCTTATCCCCGTTTCCTTAGCACGCAACGATTAGGGGT